AAGAGGTATAGCCGGTTGACATATTTGGCCCACTAACTTGTTCATTGTTTCATTCAACGTCTTTAGTTGTTTGGCCATATTGTCATAGTGTGCATTACCACTTTGTGTAAATCTTTCCATATTATGAATACTTCGAAGATTTACCTGTTCAACGACATCTTGCGTGAGTTCTCCAAGCAATGCACGCATGGTTCGAGGACTCAGCTCCGTCATTGGTTCGTAACGACTGTTACTGCTCTGATTTTGTCCATCTGTTCGTGGAGAGGCATGCTACTCCTCGTATCGCTCGATTACAGACTGGATTCCTCCCTGACTTGCTCCTTCCTTGTCGGATCTTTGAGCCATATTGTTTCACCTTTTGTACTTTCAACACCTAACACCACTGTCCCACTGGGCGTGCCAAATTGTTTCGCGCGGGTTAACTCGCTAACAATTAAAGAGGATCAGACGATTGTGTAAGGAACGAAAACCTTTTGAGACAAAGTCCCAAAAAGGGGTGTTCTTTTATTGGCGATGAACTTTACAATTGGAAACGAAAAACAACGTGCCTCCAAGGGGCGCAAGCACACGAGTTACAGAAAGGAAAGTGTTTAAGTCTAAAAGTTAAAGAAATGAAAATTACATATTCTCTATTCGAGAATTTTGGATTCGGTCCTTTGCTTCTACGTCCTTTCTCCCTTTTATACCTCATAGACGATCTCTTTGTGATTAACTACTCTGAAAATTGCTTGATCGTCCTATAACTACCCACTTTCTTTGTAGTGGCCATTTTGTCATGAAACCGCCTTTTAACTGCTGCCATTATCTTTCATCGTTCAACTGCCTTCGATTGAATTCCTTGAGTTGTGGAACGTGATAAGGCTACTTTAACAACTGCCTTGATAACTACATTCCTTGATAACCACGATGCGTTATGTTTGTTGATACCTTGGGCGACTTGAAGGTTTGGGCGAGAGTAGAATAACAGCTCTGGGCGACCGTATGACACTCATTCGTTCAGATTCTCGGCGACTTGCAAACTTGGGCGATGGCGTTACCGCATTCTTGGGCCCCTTGTTTGGGCCTTCACCTTGACTCGTTCGATTGGACTTCATTCTTTGGGCCATCCGATTTGGGAATTTTCCAATTGGGCTTTACTCCTTGGGCCGTTCGACTTGGGCTGAATTTTTATGTGTCAACAAAACCATTCAATTCTTCACACAACTTCTGCCTTCTGAGGTCAGGGTAATGGTTGGGATGGCTGTTGGGGATAAAAAAACGTTTACATCTTTTAGAACTTACTTATAGCCCTTTTGGTGCAATGATCAATCGTAATTGTAATCAAGTCGAGATTGAAATAAGCAATCTATTACAATACTTTATATAAACGAATTCAAGCATAAAGTTAAATTTTAATTGAAAGTCCAATGATTCTCTTTTTATGATTTAATAGTTGGGTTGTGCTGTGTGTACAATTGTGTACACACAGCCTTAGACCCCCCTCCATGTACACAGCCTTACACCCTCCTCACATGGAGGGAGGCCCACATGTAATATAATATTCGTGGACCCCCCTTTATGTGAGGGGGTGTAAGGCTGTACAAAGCATTATCCTTAATAATTAGATGCTCATAAATATGTGATTAAAATTAATTGTTAATTTTGAATTGAATTGTAGTGAATTTTAATTTACACAAACAGAGATTTTATCAAATTCATGAAGAGTAGTAAACTTATCGATCACGCTTTAAGAAACAAATACCACAATGGATGGACCAGATTTAAATTAAGTCTATGGTAAGAATTATATTAAAATTTCAAATAATCAAAAACAGGAATAAAGATTAATTCAAAAAAATTCTGCACGCGGGTTCATCTGTATAGTTAATTATGTGTTTCAATTAGAAGACGGTCTAGTTCAAGTGATAAGACCAGAGCTTTACTAAGCCAATAATTTAGTTTCGAATCTCCTTTTGGAGTAGAGATGAATTTCATTTATCTACCAGAACTAGAAAAGGACTTGAAAGCCTTTCGCTCTACAAATTTAATACCACTTGACGTGGAATGGAATATGATAAAAGTAATTTATGTGTGGAAAAATTACAGTAAGTGTTAAAAGATAATTAAAATGCTGAATACGTCAAGCCTGAAATCACAAAATTCCTCAAAAGGCAACTGAGAGAGAATACTGGCAGAAATGATCACAAAAATTCAGCAACGTAAATATTTGAGATCCCTTTTGATGACTCCAACCCCCCTCCGTTCCCAGGCTTGGGACCAGCTGTGTCGAGCAAACATGCAAACATATGCGGAAAACAACAGAAACAATTTTGAAACAAAGTACAGTATGCAGAATTGTGAAAAATGGAGAGGATAAATACAGATAAAAATCAGCTATTCTAATTCTGCTCCACCAATTCCTCTATAATATATACCAAAATAAAAGCATCACAAAAATTATTGATAGACATTTTTATATAAAAATGCATTTTAAAATAGTAAATTGATGTGAAATGTGTGGTTGGGAAATAAGGAAAAGTTTTTGATTTACGTGTAATATTATTTTAATAAAGAATGTGTGGTTGAAAAGAGGAGAGAAAAATGTATTTTAAAAAAAATAACTACCAAACAGGGCCTAACATTCTTGCAAATCATAAGTAGATCCACCGTCAAGAATCAAGATACACCTATGCATGCACACAGTTCAACTGAACTTCATGGGTAAAGCATTGGATGGTCCTCCAAACGCCAAGTCTAGTAGCCGTTGAGAGGGAGTTGTCAAATGGCTTACCGACTTGAACAGGATATCAAGAACATGGTTAGGGGTTATCGATCCCTTCATCAATGAACATATAGTTAAAAATAATTGCTTATTTCAAAACAAGGTATCTGCCGGCACATAGCTTACTGGATAAATAATAGGGTAACGTAAAAATTACTCTTAAAAGACAGCAGACAAAATAAGTGGTTCGTGCAATCCACAAAGTTCATTTTGCATTCCATTGCAGAAGTTGGATGGCCAACACAGGACATCTTGAGCTGTCTGTAATATCCATAACCAGTTACTTCTAGCTGCCAAAATTAAGGAGAAATCCACAAGTAATGTGCCAAGGCAATGGAAATCAAGGTTATTAAATATTCAAATATGGAAAAAGCCTTATTAAAAATTGTTAACCTAAATCAAACAATTCCCCGAAGGCCCCTTTCTATACCCCAACTATATGAATAAAACATAGTAAAGACGAATCAAAACAAATATAAACACAATCATATTTTTATTGTACCCTCATATTCTGATTCATTTTGAGTCTCAAGCATTAGGTGTTCAGATCTTATCGTTAATACATCTTTTGTTCTTATTTAGGCCATGTATATACAGAGTACTTGCATATAAGTTTTGATCTATAGAAATTTACATTTTATCAATCACGAAAAATGTTGATGCTTGACACTACCAGCAACAACCATCCGATCACAAAAAAAAAAAAGATGCAGGCAGTCAAAGAGTAGTAACTGAAACCTAATAATATGCAGAAAATCACAAAAGCCGAGATTAAAAAATAAATAAATAAAAATACGTAAAGATCTGATATGTTTGACTCAAACCCTCCTCCTTTCCCGGGCTTGGGACCGGCTGTGTTGAGCAAACATGCAACACAGGCGGAGTTAAAAGAGTCAATACACAAAACAACTGAGACAATGAAAGAATTTTGTAACACAGCATAGCATCCAAAACAACCAAGAACATCTCACCATTTTATAAATATTGTCCTAGTTTCCTTTAAAATTTGACCGACCAACAAGGAGAATTGTGCGCAGAAGCAATGTTGAAATTCTGAAATTTTGGCAGGCACAAAATTGTGAATTAGAGAATAGAAACACTCAGGTAAAATGAGCTTTTCTAATAATCTCTCTCTACCAAATCCTCATTTTTTGGGCAACTCAATTGGTTCTTTTTTTTTTTTTTTTTTTTTTTGGGGACTCCACACACCTTCAACCTACCTTGATCCCAAGAATAAATAATCCAGCCTGCAACACCTTAGGAATTTCTATACAAGTACATTTTCAATTAGATTCTTGAACTCTGAAAATGCTGTCGTTTGGAAACATTCAAATACCATCAAATCATATAAGGTTCCTTACACAGGAAATACAATTCAACATATTCACCTACTAGTTATTGGGATGCAATATTGCTCTTGGGAACTCCAACTGAGAAAGACACGTTGAACCAATGAAACTAATATCTTAACAACAGACTGAAAATTTGTTGCAGTTAAAAAGCTCGTAGTTGGACCTTGGGTTGGGTCGGCCAGTCCACCTAAACTCTAAATGTGAACCCAACTTGCAACAAATACGTGCAGTCAGCATCCCTACAACTTACACCCGTTAGAAGCAGTGACTTGTTTTGCCATCTGTACTGGAAAGTAACAGGACCAAAATAATAAATGACTAACAAAGAGAGGTGATTAACTAAATATGATTCTCCAAGTGGACATCCATATACTACTATATCACTAAATTGAAACTCTAAATCGCTACAAGTCAAGAAACGAAATCTGCACACGTCATATTGCAAACAACAATATTGCATGCAAAAATTTTAAAGTGAGAAGAAGCCAACATGGAACCAATAATGAATAAGAGAATAGAAGAACCTGGAAATTGCTGGCGAAATTTCCAGGTTGATTAGTTTGAAAATTCCAAGTCAATTAATTAAAATTTGCAAAACAGCAGCTCAGTTAGCCTGTTAAGCTGTTGGACTTGAATGGCACAGGTTTGATCAAAAGGACATCCATGTACAAGTCAAATATGGAGTAAGGAAAATTTAAGAGTAATATCTTAAAAGAGAAAAAAATTGCATACCAAATATGCCTCTCGTCACCTTGTATTTATAAGGTCCTTTGGTCTGTCAAACAATGATTGATTCAACTGCACTTGGAAGTGTGAAGTCAGAGAGAGAGATTCCTTGAACTTGCGTGTCAGAACCATACTTGGTGTCCTAGGTAGCATGAGCTTTTCATTGACCGACTGGTGAGTCATTTTGTATCCATAAACCCAGGCTCGGATGAAATCTGCCAAGCTATAATAAAACCAATCTGGCAGTCCACCATAGATATGATATGATCTGCATGCCATGTGTAGATATGATATGATCTGCATGCCATGCGTTCTTGGGTACAACACAAGGAAAAGATATGTCGACAAATATTCCACAAAGGCTACAAACAAGATAGAAGAAAATTTTGAATTCACGCCTCCTACACAGCGTGCATCATCTGCAAATAAATACAGCTTATAGCAACTGTACTCCAGCTGGCAAGGATATGTCAGATGACAAGGCAACAAAAAGTTGATCAGTTATCAGTTGGCTGAAAGGACTTTCGTTGTACTTGGAATTGTGAGGATAGCAAAGAAACGCCACATTTCATATGAACATGCATAACGTCGTCTAGACAGCCCCAAATTTTCATAACATAGCTTCTCTGGATAATATTTGAACCAGAGAGAAGGGAAATGTGACCCCAAAAGCAAACATTAAAGAGCAGAGGAACTGAACATCAGCGCTCAAATGGAACTAATGAAATCAGGTGCCAAAATGAAAGCCAGATAAACCAAAGTCTAGAAGGAACACTATTTAAACCATTGAGTTTGATACCACTCTAGAAAATGCTCTGGACGAGAGTCTGATTGACTTGTAGCCAAAGACTGCCATTCCAGCTCTTCCCTGCTCACTCTCATCGGTGCTTCCTTCTGAACTGCACGCCAAGGAAGCTTGTAGGGAAATAAATCAGGTAAATTGAAAGAGATTCTGTAACAGAATGGTTATATTTACTACCATCAACAACAATTAAAGCAACAAATCCAAGCTGATCAATCATGGATATCTGCAATATCCTTTTAGAATCTAGCCCCAATTTCATCAATATAACCTCAATTAGACGTTTATAAACAAAGAACCAACCACATGCAATTATGAAAAACAGCTGGTGGAAAGATCACCTGCATAAAGTAATGTGAACAGGTTCAAACTTCTCAATAGTGCAAGATAAAGTTTCCAAGAGTTGCAAAAACAATTGTTTGCATTATTTATGAGAGTAGATCATTAGTCTATTTTTTAATCTATTTCTTAGCTTGCTCATTATGTCTGATTTCATACTACCTTGAAAGGTGGAGAAATCAGGAATCAACCAAAACAGAAGTATTCCAAGAATATAATCAAAACCGCCGAACAGAATCCATCCATCGAGGAATTTCAACTCACAAATATCACAATGTAAAGCCTTACAGACAGTTGCAAATTCAATTGTGCAAGGAAGAGATGCAGAGTCCATCACACTATTAACAATAGAATATGCCACCAGCAAAAGAAGCCCAATCTGCCCTCATTTTAAATCCTTAAGAACCATAAATATCCAGTGCTGCCTTCCATAAGCATCTTTTTTTAAAACAATCAAACTGGGTTGTATATCTTGAACAAAGGCAAAATGAAGAACCATTATATTGCAAACAAGATCAGTCAAAGCAGAGAGAGAGAGAGAGAGAGAAACTTTCAGTTGTCACCCTTGGAAGACGTCATCCTCAGCTAGCCCACACCACCTCTACCAACACCTTATAAGAAAAGGAAAAGGGATCTCATTGAATTAACCAGCGTAGAACCACTAGGATCCTGCAACCAAGTTTCGCTAGTTCAGCCTCTGTAGACACCTCACAACTACACCATCTCAGAATACCCATGAATAGTTGTTAACAATGTCAAGCTGTTAAATCCAATTATGAAGAACATTTAGTGAACAAGTCACCTACCACAATCTCGGAACTCTTGCAGATCTATCTTGGAATGATAGGAGCATTTAATGCAGTCTTCATCAAAACTTCATGAACTAAACAGGGACAAGGGTCCACAGACAAGAAATGCTAATAGTAACAAGTAGAATGATATCCATCAGGTAATCTCCGATGGCTATGTAAGATCATTGCACTAACCTCAGAAGGTAAAAGATGTGTGAACAAATGAGGAGCACTTCTAAATAATAAGATCAGATATCTATTAGATTCTGATCATCTAACAAAACTAACTGAGAAAGTACCCGAGACTGGTTCATTTCTTCAAATATCTAAACTTCATGGTGTTCTACCGGAGTTTTTCAAGAAAATGGGGACATTCAGAATCTGATAAATCTTCCCAGAATTCTAAAATCTTGAAACTGAAGGCACAACACAGCATTTATTTGAAGCTTCCATTTGTACTTCATTCATCCAACCATTAGATCATTTAACATCCATCACTCTATAGCTCAGTTACATAAATAAAAGTAAAGAGAACCATTAGATCATTTAACATCCATCACTCTATAGCTCAGTTACATAAATAAAAGTAAAGAGAAGAACCAACTTCCTAGTAGAATGTAGCACAGACCTAGCAACAATGAAGGAAAAGATCAAATAGAACATCAGAGCATGACACAGTGAAGTGACATAGTTGAAAAGTCTTTCTAGCTTAGCGTAACCAAATGCACAGAATTGTAGTAAAACATATGACTATAGCCTCAATGATCCAATCTGATATCCTCACAGCTGGATTCTACATCTAGATTATATGTAGAACAAATCCCCTTAAAAGTTCAAGAAAAACTAATCATCAAACAAATAAATAAATAGTTATTATTATAATAAGATAATTTTCTAATGAAACTAATTTATTCCCATAGAAAATAAAGGAACAAAAAGATTTAATAAAAAATTTCAACAAATTTCTTTGAAAATCCCAAAAAAAAAAAAGAGAGAGAAGAAATTAGAAGGAACTACTCTGTTTTATTCTTTTTCACCTTCACTGGATTGATATACAAAAAAATAATTAAAAATAAATTAATTAATTAAAACCTTACATTACCATGTGTACCAACTAGTTACTCGAAAATCTCCATCTGAACATTAAGAAGCATTAACCAAATCCAAGGCTTATGTACAAGGATGACCACCTAGCTGAAAATAGGGTTATAGAAAATGAGGCAATAGATTACACAGTATTACCGGTAGTTAAACACCAACCTTTGCTTGTCCTAGTTGATCTTGATTCGACATTAGAATATTGATTTTACCCCCATCCACCAAATACTTTTTGCCTGCAAATACTGCATATTTGATTCTATCAAAACATATGCACCATAATCATGAAACTAGAAGTACTAATAAATGGATACAAACAACTAGTATTTCCTAAGGTCAAAAGATCAAACCCATCCACAGATCGAAGAGCAAAAGTTTGAGTCCGCTATAACTTTCGACGGTTATATTTATAAAGACTTCACCTACAAAAGATCCCAAGTTGTGAGATCAGTGGGTTAAAAATAAACGAATATCCATCTCATTGCAATTGTGCAAATTTTTAATTAAAAAAATATGTGCAAATTGAAGCAACAGTCTAAAGAGCCCAACATCAGATTCTGACAAGAAAAGTACTCGTGTGCAGAACAGGAAATTACCATCCAATCAATTTTACTTTTTATGCATATCAGTACCGTAGCATAGAAGTTATCAACTGGTGAATAATCTTTATAACTTCCAAAGAACTGTCATTGGGCAATATTGAAAATTCCTGTGCAGTACATGCCGAGTTTATGTATAGAGGACAACTCATGATAACTACAATTATTGATATCTCCAAACAGACAGTGTTTTTGAGGGAGCTTAGTCTTTATAAGTGTACGTTGCTTTCATCCAACAAGAATACCCCTGAAGGTGAGACCCCAAGAAGCAGGTTCCAATGAATTTTTTCTTTCAAGTTGAAGATCCAGAAAGGCAGAGAGAACTACCAAATTCATAAACCGACTACACACAAACTTTATACCCTCATTAGTTACCTGACCCATGTGTCGTCATCTGATAAAATCTATCTGCACAGGGAGAAACATGAAAAAAGCTAAGGCATTTTATATAAGAGACTGAAAAAAGTCCAAATTCCATTTCATGTACAGAGCAAAGGCCATATAGGTTTCAAATCACCTACGCAAATATTGCAGTAAACAACAAAAAATTTCCCCTTCACACGCCCTCAGACCTCATAAAATAATCAGAATCCTCATAAACTCTCCAGCGCACATACTGAGACTAACGAATCAGAAATGAACAAAGAAAAGAGAAAAATTTACACCCTTTCTTCCAGAAGTATCCATTATTAGTTGACGCAAGGGCTTCAGCAGTGTATGAGAAGGCACCAATAGAAACCAGAGTCTGTACCATATGAGGATGAAAATCACATTCCAAAGAACTCTCAAAAATATATCATTTAGAGCCTGTTTGGGTGTGATTTTGAGAATTGATTTTTTGACTATTATAAGAAAAGTGGGATCCACCCGTAAGAGAAGAAGTCAAATATGATGCTGAAAAAGTGAAATAACGGTCAAAAAATCAATTTTTTGGGGGAAAAAATCGCTCCCAAACAGGCCCTTAAAACAAACCACAGCAAACAATTTTAATGGTATTGATATCCCCACCACCCTGAAAACCACTTAGATTGTAATTCCAGAACCTCTGAAGGTGAGACTCCGAGAAGAATTTCAAATGAAATCCTTTCTTTCAAGTAGACGGTCCTGTCTAGAAAGATAGAACAAACTAGCTAAAAAGGCCAATAAACTCGTAAACCAACACCACAAATAAGCTTTACACCTTAACAGCTACCAAGTGTCATCCAATCCCTGTCAAATCTATCTGCAAGGGGAGAAACACATCAGAGAACAATGGATAAGTTCCATTAGCAAAATCTGAGAAAAATTTCAATTTTACCAATCCATATGTAGCTGCAGTGAACAATGAATAAGTTCCCCTTCACACGGCCTCAGTCCTCATAAAATGATCAAACTCGAACTCCCCCCACACACAACTGAGACTGATGAACCAGAAATAAATTAAGGAAAATAAATGAAAATCTTACACCATTTCTTCCATAAGTATCCATTATTATTTGACCAAAAGAATTTCCAGCTGTGGATGAAGCACCAAAGGAAAAACCAGATTCTGTACCAATATGAAAGTGATGCTAATATTCCAATCAACTCACAAGAACATGATTTAAAACAAACTACATCAAACAATAAACGATATTGCTTTCCCCACTATCAACCACTTAAAGACTGCAAAAGGAATAAAGCAACGCATAAAAACACCTAAAGAAGCTTTTTTTTTAAAGAAAGAAATAATAGACAAGAACTTCATTCTTTGCAAAACAGATCATAGTAGGTTCCAAATCACCACCACCTTTAACACTACTAAAACACTTAATTTTTCAATCGAAGTCAAAGGTTGTGTGCATTTATAAACACCGTACATAGATTCAAGATGCAAAAATTTGAGTCCTCCATCTCCAAATCTTATGATGACTGAAACTGAACAACTCGACCTATAAAAAAAGAATATGAAGGAGAGGAAATAAATAAACAATGACAAAAATCTATTATGGTGAAAAAAACCAAGCGTGATCAGGTTAGCAAAGATAGGATGCCATAATCTAGGTGAAGCCAAAAAATCTATTTTATGCCCCTTCTCCATATGGCATTACTGTCCACCAAAATATCATCTGCGTATCCCAAAAGATAAATTATAAATACTAACGTGAAAATAATAATATTATCCCAAACAAATGACAGGAAATCATAATTTAGCTTCAGAACTGCCTATTACTATGAACGCTAAGGATAAACAGTAAGAGAAATATGTGGAATAGTTGGTCTAACCAAAGTACAACATATAATTGTGACTGGCAACCTCTTGTCGTGGAATACCCCTTCAGAAACAAATATATACATGGAAAACTGACAAGCAGGTGTATAATTGTGAATGTTCTTATAAATACATGCAGAATGGCAGGTAAATTTGAGTCCAAGGAAAGAAAAATGAACTTTCATAATTAGAGCTTCCCCATTATCCTTCAATTTCAATGCTACAAAAGTTTTAGAAGACTGAACAGCCACCACCTACTAGGTAGGGGAGGAAATGGAAATATGGAAAGAAACAAAAAAACATATCCAGTTACAAACAGTGATTACTCAAAAAAGGAGTAATGGATCAGTATAAATCAGAAATAGGGTAATACTGAAATCCCAATGCTTAAAAGACTAGGAAAGAGTGTTATAAAACAAGTTATTGCACCTAAAGAGCTCTCTGACATTAAGAGACTGCAATTCCTAGGAGAAGTTCAGTATTGCGTCAATCTTTGCCAAAACCTAAACTTCTATTCTTCCCGATCAATGCCAACAGCCACATATCACCTTAGTAGGTAAACCCAATATCTGCCATCTAGAGCGAGAGTTATAGAAAAAGATAGATATTTCAACAAATTAAATTCAAGTCCATTAAAGTAGCAGCTCAAGTTTCCAAAGTCCAGTAAAGACAATTAACGCTTTGGAATTGGATGGTCACCAGCAACACTGATAAGCAGTTTCTGCAAACAGGAAGGGGGAAAAATACCAGAATGAAGGTGAAAAGAGATGGAAAAAATAGAATAAGAAAAAGGTAAAATGATGCGTAATACATATAGACCGATTGCTACTGTCGAAGCTACCTGCACAAGAAGCATCGAAGAACCTAAGGCTTTTTATATGAAAAGAACGAAAAAAAGTCTACATTGCACAGACTGGGAAAGGTTACAGATCACCAGCATAAGGTTGGTTGCAGTGTACAACGAATACATTCACCTCCAGATCACCTTATAAAATAACCAATCTCCACTATAACTCCCCCCAAACACAAGCTGAAACCATTGAACAAGAAGTCAACATGTAAAACATTGAAAAATCTTAAACCTCTTTTCCATTAATATCCGACAACTTCCATCAGCGGGTAAAGAATCACCACAGAAAATTGTTTTCTGTATTACCAAAGAGTGAAGATATTCCAAGTAACTAACAAAACATAATTCGAAATAACCATCAGAAACCAAATAAAGATACTGCATCACCACCAGCCTGAACAACCACTTGGTGCAATCCCGGAGTACCAAAGAAACTAATAGAAACACCAAACAAAGCCTTTTGAACGGATCAAATAATGGAAAATAAAATCTCAAAACGCAGAAGCAGATTCCACTAACGTATTTATAAAACTCCTGTTGATACCACAAAGAGGAGGAAAAATAGAAAGATGATATGAGTATGAAGAAAATACCAGAAACCCAGATTCCTTAAATGATTCAAGGGATACACGAAAACTCAAACTCGATCAGACCATCAAAACTTCTTATTGTCTCAATCCATTGAAATCAACAAAAAATTACCGAAAGCTCGGACTACCACCAAAAGCAGAATCTGCCAAACCAAGGAAGAAAAACCCACGAAGAATCTCATAAAGAGTGTCAAGAAAATACAAGAAACCCACTCTTGGAATGATTGTCGTAGCCCGATCATCTGATCAGGAAATCACAATATCTTCACGTTAAAAACCAAAGGTTCTGCAAAATTACAAG